AAATTTTTTGCAGATCATCAAATTTGCCATAGCGGATTTCTCGTCACAGCGGATTTTTTTGGCTGGTACCATAAATCCGCTGTGACAAGGTTAGACTGTATATAAATATAAAAATACAAAAACATTATATATTTTATCATATCATTAAAAAAAAAATTTACCAATCTTTACAGAGAGAACAATTAATCATTGCACAGCAATGATCATATCTATGACAGACACAACAAGAAGTTTTCCTTTCCTTCCGTAACAGTTCAGTATTTAGTTGTGAATTGGTTAAAAGAAAAGAATCTATTATAAATCGTCGAGTGTTATTATCTACAGCATTATTAATGCTTGTTAGTATCGAATGTTCGCTTTTATCGTTAACAGAGTCGAGAGGCTTAATAAAATCACACTGTTTGTTCATTTTTTTTTATGAAATTTTATTCTATTCGAGATGTTTTTAAAATATTTTTTGAAAGAGAATAATTATTTTTATTTGTTGATCAAGGAGGTGTGTATCATATTAATATATAAAAAATATGCAACAATAATAATTGTAATTCTTTATTCCGTTATTATTATTATTATTATTATTACTTATTATTACGTATTATTTATTTTTAGGAATATTTGGAATAATCAATTATATTAAACAAGAACATTGGAACAAAGCTTACAGTACTTTTAGTAATATGCAATATAAATATAATACATCCGAAAATTTATCTAAACTTGGATTTTCTTTGAATGATCTTTTCCTTTAACAACTTTCCCCGGTTCTAAAGGTGTTCCATTCATAAGTTTTTTTTAAATAAATAAATAATAATTATATATATAAATAATGAATGATGTTTTATGCGAAAATATACATGTTGTCAAAACCCCAGACTTTCGAGCCTAGCTCCAGTTTTGGGTTTCGGCCAGTTTCGGGTTGGAAGGGTTCCTATTCGAAACTGAAACTCTATTAATATCCGAAACCAATGTCGAATCCGAGACCTTTTGCCGAAATTTGAAACCCCCTGTCAAATTTGGAATCCTTAGCCGCAACCTTTTGTATATAGTATATAATAGAACTTGTATTAGGATCTCTATCCGAATAAGTTTACCCGAATTATTTGATTCATTCGTTATTATTATTATTATAAATTAGAGTGCTCGAATTACATTAAAAGTCTATTCAAATAAAACGAATAAAATTCGAATAATTCGAATAACACAAACAGTTCGAATAAAACGAGCGAATATACAAAACTAAATATAAACTAAATTTAAATTTTACTATATATAAATTTCTCTTTTCGATATCAAAATCATCATTATTATGCCGTGGAATTGATTTTTCCCTTTCACCAACAGTTATCTCATCAGTTTACAAAAAAAAAAAATTCTAATTCTAATTCTTGCCAAGATATTTCGGAAAATCTAACATAATTAATTCCATTAGTTTGTGGTTTACATTTGGAACTTTTAACAGTCCTGGCCTTGTGTAAAG